GGAGAATTGCCTGAACCCAGGAGGCGGAGGTTGCGGTGAGCCGAGATCGCGCCATTGCACTCCAGCCTGGGTAACAAGAGTGAAACTCCGTCTCAAAAAAAAAATAAAATAAAATAAATGGATTTTGCAGAAGGATAGGCTTAGTGAAAAGGAGGAGCAGTAAATAATAAAATGTAATAAACAAAATAGAAATGTAATTTGTTTTAATAAGCTATTTAGGAAAACTAATTTGATTATATGTTCTTAAATGGTTTTAAATCAATAAAACTCAGTATTCACACTTAATGCAATAGATGCTAAGAAAAAAAATACAGATTTCTAACCTTCAGCTAGAAATCTAAATAAAAATAGAAAATACCCTTTGCCTTTGCTGCAGTAGTTCAGTTGTTATAAATAAACTATACAATTGTGGCCGGGCTCGGTGGATCACGAGGTCAAGAGGCCGAGCTGGGCGTGGTGGCGCGTGCCTGTAGTCCCAGCTACTCAGAGGGTGAGACAGGAGAATTGCTTGAACCTGGTAGGCGGAGGTTGCAGTGAGCCGAGATCGCGCCACAGCACTCCAGCCTGGCACCTGGTGACAGAGCAAGACTCTATCTCAAAAAAAAAAAAAAAAAAAAAAAAATGTAAAATTTTGTTGTAGAATTTAGCTAATGATTAACTTTGAGGGCCTGTGTATTTGCAAGTGTTTATATTGACTGATAATATCTTTTTAAATATAGTTTATTGGTTTAGTTTCTTTGACTTTCTCATTATCTTCAACAAGTAGAGTTAGGTTTTTCGTTTGTTTGCTTTAATTTCAGTATTAACTGCTGTGGTAACTTGGTAGGGCTATCCTAGACAATATTATTTGTCAAAATGTTTTTGTAAATGGGGATACAAACACACATTTTGTGCCAATTAGAGAAGTCTATTTTTCAGCCAGTTTGCTTTTCTGGCTTTAAACTTTGTTTCTACTCTCTATGATGGGTCTTTCCAGCTTCTAGATTCTCTGTATTATCTTTCAGGAAGTTGAACTAAAGGCCAGGCATGGTGGCTCACGCCTGTAGTCCCAGCACTTTGGGAGGCTGAGGCGAGCGGGTCACCTGAGGTCAGGAGTTCAAGACTAGCCTGACCAACATGGTGAAACCTTGTCTCCACTAAAAATACAAAATTAGCCAGGCTTGGTGGCAGGCACCTACAATCCCAGCTACTTGGGAGGCTGAGGCAGGTGAATTGCTTGAACCCAGAAGGCAGAGGTTTCGGTAAGCTGAGATCATGCCATTGCACTCCATCCAGCCTGGGCAACAAGAGTGAAACTCTGTATCACAAAAAAAAAAAGAAAGAAAGAAAAAGAAACGTGACTAAAGAGAGTGGAAGAGGTCCTATGATGTGAAGACTTATTAATAAAGCATTTACACACATACCAAAAATTAAAAATAAAGCATTTACACATTAATTCATTTTTTTTATCTTATGAACTATTTACCTTGGAATTTGGATTCGAATATATGCCATTTCAAAACCAGAAAAGAATTAGCATCAAATATTTGTAGCATCAACATGCTGAAAGAAAATTATGGAAATAAACTAGCCAGCCGAATGCATGTTTCAGCATGGGAGGAGGTAACATAGTGAAATAAAAAGCACTGATTTCACAGTCTGAATATTCAATCATGTCCTGTCTTTGTCCCTAACTGACATGATCTTGAGCACTTGCCCTTTCTGGGCTGCAGTATTGTGGTGTATAGACTGGGTATAATAATAAATACCTACACCCCAGGATTGTTGAAGGCTCAAATAAAATCATGGTGAGAACACTTTAGAAAACGAGCACAAGCTGTGCAAATATAGGATGTTCTTCTTTTGCTTCTGGGATAATGAATCCTTAGTTATTGCCACATAAATGTTTTTTTCCATCTTCTGGCTAGTGTTCAGCAGAGATGTCTACATTGGCCATCTTGAAAAATCCTATGCTTTCTACCCTGCTATTAATTAGATATGAAGTCTGGCAAATTAATGGAAGAGAGGAAAAGATAGATGTTGTAGGCCAGTGTTTCCAAAATCACGAATTGGTTCATGGTTAGTTTACAATATTTTGTTTATCCCTAGAATATCCAGCGAGAATACTAAATTTAAAGTTACAGTGTTTTGGTTTATTCTTAAAATGTGGTAAGTGTTTAACTTTAAGGATGTAATATTCTATTAGTATTTTACTTGCATGTGTTCCAGTGAACAACCTACTGCGATTTTTTTTCATCGTTCATCCTACTCATTAATGTCATCAGATTGTGAGATCTTTAATTAAACTCTAGAAAGAATCATCTTTCCTTCTTTTCCAACTTTTCATGAATGTTTCTAAATTTGCCTTTTTACAGGACTTTGCCTCCCGGGCCAAACTAGCAGTTCAAAACCTAGTACAGAAGGTTGGATTTTTTGGAATTTTGGCCTGTGCTTCAGTAAGTGAATTATATTAAAACAGAAATTTTACTAAATGGTAGTGTTGTATTTTGATCCAGTTACACTCCTGAATGAACAAAAATGCTATCACTTTTATTGGGTATGTAATTTTGTGAATCATTCAACTTTTTTTTTTTTGAAATGGAGTTGCGCAGGCTGGAGTGCAGTAGCATGATCTTGGCTCACTGCAATCTCCATCTCTTGGGTTCAAGCAATTCTCCTGCCTCAGCTTCCCTAGTAGCTGGGACTACTGGCCTGCACCCCCACGCCAGGCTAATTTTTCTATTTTTAGTGGAGACAGGGTCTCACCATGTTGCCCAGGCTGGTCTCAAACTCTTGGGCCACCCAAAGTTCTGGGATTATAGACATGAGCCACCGCACCTGGCCCATTCTACTTACTAAATGAGAAGTATTAGTTACAAGGAAGAATTCATTTAAAACCTGTCTAAAGCGATGTTAGCCCATGGCTACTGTGACTTACATATCTTAAACATTTTTTTTTTTAATTTTAGAGACAGTCTTGCTCTGTTGCCCAGGCTGGAGTGCAGTGGTGCAATCTTGGCCCACTGCATCCTCTGCCTCCCAGGTTTAAGCAATTTTCCTGCCTCAGCCTCCCCAGTAGCTGGGATTACAGTCTTGTGCCACTACACCCAGCTAATTTTTGTAATTTTAGTAGAGACAGGGTTTCACCATGTTGGCCAGGCTGGTATCAAACTCCTGACCTCACATGATCCACCTGCCTTGGCCTCCCAAAATCCTGGGATTACAGGCGTGAGCCACCACTCCTAGCCTACATATCTTAAATACGTTAAACTCATTTTCATTTCAGCATGAGTTGGAACCTTATGATAAAGGGGGAAAAAAATGTTTAAACTCATTGAGTTGTGAGAGTAACATGGGCAAATATAAGAAATGGCAGGTGGAGGGCCGGGCACGGTGGCTCACGCCTGTAATCCCAGCACTTTGGGAAGCCGAGGCAGGTGGATCACGAGGTCAGGAATTTGAAACCAGCATGACCAAAATTCTGAACCCCTGTCTCTACTAAAAATACAAAAGTTAGCTGGGCCTGGTGGCGCACACCCTGTAATCCCAGCTACTCAGGAGGCTGAGGCAGGAGAATCACTTGAACCTGGGAGGCGGAGGTTTCAGTGAGCCAAGATCGTGCCATTACACTCTAGCCTGGGCAACGAGCAAAACTCCATCTCAAAAAAAAAAGAAAAGAAAATGGCAGATGTAATACTATGTAAACGATATTGTTATTACATGGTTGTAAGAGATGAAATAATCATAAAACGTTTGAATTTGGATAAGAAAAACAAAAATGACTTATTGACTTCAAATGTTACTAACAAAGGAATACTTAAATTCTTTTTTTTTCTTTTTTTCTTTTTGAGACAGAGCTTCACTCCTGTTGCCCAGGCTGGAGTGCAATGGTGCGATCGCAGTGCACTGCAACCTCTGCCTCCTGGGTTCAAGCAATTCTTGTGCCTCAGCCTCCTGAGTAGCTGGTACTACAGGCATGCACCACCACTCCCAGCTAATTTTTTGTATTTCTAGTAGAGATAAGGTTTCTCAATGTTGGTCAGGCTGGCCTAGAAGTCCTGACCTCAGGTGGTCCACCCGCCTTGGCCTCCCAGAGTGCTGGGATTATAGGCGTGAGCCACCTCGCCCTTCCAGGAATACTTGAATTCTAATTTATTTATGTCTTTTTTTAAAGATCATATGTGACAAATATTTTTTTTCTTTTTTTTTTGAGACAGAGTCTCACTCTGTCGCCCAGGCTGCAATGCAGTGGCGCAATCTCAGCTCACTGCAACCTCCACCTCCTGGGTTCAAGCGATTCTCCTGCCTCAGCTTCCCAAGTAGCTGGGATTATAGGCACCCACCACCATACCCAGCTAATTTTTGTATTTTTAGTAGAGACGGGGTTTCGCCATGTTGTCCAGGATGGTCTTGATCTCTTGACCTTGTGATCCGCCCGCCTCGGCCTCCCAAAGTGCTGGCATTACAGGTGTGAGCCACTGCACCCAGCCAGCAAGTATTTTTTAAATAACTAGGCTTTTCTTTCAGAGTTCAAAAATGAAATTATATAAATTAGTTGACTTATGAATGGTTCAGCCATCAGCCACAAGGTCAGAGTACTTTCTTCTCCTATATTCTTCTGTAGGAGAAGAATGGGGGAAGTTCTCAAAAACAGCTTATGGTTCCTTTGCATTTTTACATGAAATGTCTTTTAGCATTCTTAAATTGTGGGAATGTTTGGAAAAGGTATTTGTTGTAAATCACTTCTTTGTCTGGAACTGAGTATTCAAAACATCTACATCTGTGTGCTTTCATTTTTCACACTTGATCTTTTTTTTAAAAGATGGGGTTTCACCATGATGGTCAGGCTGGTCTTGAACTCCTGACCTCAGGTAATCCACCCACCTCAGCCTCCCAAAGTGCTAGGATTATAGGCATGAGCCACCATGCCCGGCTTTGATCTTTTTTCTAAATTTTATCACATGGCCCTCAGCCTTGGTATCTCATAAAATAAAATACAAATTATTAATATTTTATGTTAATAACAGCACATCTACCCATAAATGTATTTGGGAATTTGTTAGAATATTTGCTAATGATATGAGTGCTTACCAGATAATATTCACATTTCAGGCTAAAGATTTTAGAAACTTAACTGCTGATACAATCTTAAGGCTCTTTTTTTCACTCATACTTCACCTTAAAAAACAGCCACCAAAGGCCAGGCGCAGTGGCTCAGGCCTGTAAACCCAGTATTTTGGGAAGCCAAGGGGGGCAGATCATTAGTTCAGGAGTTTGAGACCATCCTGGCCAACATGGTGAAACCCCATCTCTACTAAAATACAAAAAAAAAAATTAGCCGGGCATGGTGGTTCGCATCTATAGTCCCATCTACTGAGAAGGCTGAGGCAGGAGAATCACTTGAACCCAGGAGGCAGAGATTTCGATGAGCCAAGATCATGCCACTTCACTCCAACCTGGCAACACAGTAAGACTCAGTCTCAAATGAAAAAAGAAAACAGCCACCAAATAGTCAAGAATCCACTCATTTTATCTATCCAGTTCTCATGTGATGGGCAAGCGCACATGCATGCATGCGTACACACACACACATACACATGAGTAATATAAGCAAAAGGACACCTTGGTTTCCTGTGAGCAGATTGAACACTAAGATGAATATGAGACCCGGCTTCTAGACACATTAGAATACTTGCCTAACCTCCTTTTGAACAATCCAGTACTGATCAAGGAACCCATATGTCATTTTGCAGTGGAAGCAGGCTGAAAGCAGAATATCACATATCAATAGGTGATAAAATTAAATTGTTCTTTGGATTATAATATGGAAGTCCTTTTCTCTCTATAGATTCCAAATCCTCTATTTGATCTGGCTGGAATAACATGTGGACACTTTCTAGTACCTTTTTGGACCTTCTTTGGTGCAACCCTGATTGGAAAAGCAATAATTAAAATGCATATCCAGGTAATTATACTCCCTGATTCACTGCCTAATGATGATGAACCCATTATAAGACAATGAAACATGCTCATTCCTAAGTGAATTGTTAAGTTATTGTTTGTTTCTTTTGATTGGTAGCTTACTTAGGTTATAAAGCATAGAATGTCATTTGGAGGTTAGTGATCTCCCTTTTCTTTCTTTTCTTCTTCTTCCTCCCTTCTTCCCTTTTTTTTCCTTCTTTCCTTCCTTTCTCTCTTTATTTTTTTCCCTGTGAAACTATTTATCCTGGACTTTTACCAAACAAAAATAATGTTTGTGTTCAGGAAGATGCACATCATTATTACCAATCACAAGCTGAGAGAATATTGCCTTTCACCAGTTCTTACTTTCTTTCACATACTCTCTATATATAGAGTATGTGAAGCAGTTTCTCTCTTGGCACCCATATCCTTTATTGAAAAACAGCCAGATGTTAGTGTGGGAGGAGAATGGGGAAGCAGAGGGTCTCTGAAGAGGCGAGGAGATGTGGGTTGTGGTCAGAGAATTCAGAATCTGCAACTCCTCAAAGCCACTCTTAACAAAATCGTTAGGACAGAGGGTGTTTATGTGTGCATGCACGCATGTATGAATAGAGAGGAGAGAAAGGCTAAGAATTTAAATGAAGGGAAATGGATATGTGCTTCTAGAACTGTGCTAGGAATTATTTCCTTCTACGAGCAAATCTCACTAGAATGAAATAAAAATTAACCTGGAGCCGCGCATGGTGGCTCAAGCCTGTAATCCCAGCACTTTGGGAGGCCGAGGCGGGTGGATCACGAGGTCAAGAGATCGAGACCATCCTGGTCAACATGGT